CATGCAAAGAAGGAGCCCCCCCCCAAGCAAAGCCACAAGAAGTGGGGGGAGAGGAGAGTTTTTGGGGAGAAAGAAAAAGGCAGGGGAAAACAGCAAGAGGAAAGTTGAGAAGGAAATTAAAACGTCTAGAGCAGATGTTTCATTTCCGAGCGTCTATGGAGGTTTCCACCGAAACACAAAGCAGAGAGGGAGAAAACCCGGTTACGAGATTCTCCAGAAAATGTTTTTCCTTCAATCCGACAGAGATGTTGGCGTGCGAGGAGGTTATGGCGAGACGCGGGCCCTGAACCACCCTGCTTCGAGGGGGATTCAATGATCTGCCCCAACTGGCAGGTCTAGAGGCCAGGAGAGGGTGGGAGAGGTTCCCCGGCCAGAGATCTGGAGGGGCCCCAGGCGGATGGCAGATGGAGGACAAGTGGAGGGTTCGGAAAAGCAAGAGGCCTGGGTATTTTCAAATGGTGGGCTCTCACCTCTGGCAAACATGAGTTCATCTATTTCTTGGAGTGGGCCAGGAATGTCCACCCTGCCAATGCTTCAGGCAGTGGTGAACTGCTCCTGCAGCTGGAGGTTCCACCCAGCCCTTGTGCCTAAGGGACCCCACTGGCCATTCCCTCTGCCCACCCATTTGTGTCCTCCTTTTCCTCCCATCGTCACAGTCAGCAGCTGCTGCTGCTGCTGCTTCTTCTTCTTAGGCCAGTAAGTCCCACGGGCAAATTTTGTGCTTGTATGAGAAAATGGGGCCAGGAAAGAGCATGGTGTGTGCTGGGAAGGGCAAGGCTCGGAAGATCCAGGTTTGTTTTTTCCACCGCAAAACGCTGTGGGTGGCCGGTCACCCTCTCTGCATCCTCTCTCCGTCTCCCTTTCCCGCTGGACTACAATCTCCATCTTCCCTAGTCGAGTGGCCTAACTCCAGTTTTGAGCCTCCATGAGAACAGACCCATCGTAAGCCCAGGAGGATTTCCAGATGCGTTGACTTGACGATTCCAGAATGGCATGACCGGAACTCTTGTCATTCTCCTACAGAAGAAGACTTTTTCCTGAAAATCTCAAAATCAACTCCAAATTTTTCAAGAGATGAAAACACCCGTTGGTATGATCCTGCTCGTGAAGACCCAGGCACCTGTGACTGACATGCTCAGAGGCACTCTTTCCACGTGCCAAGGAGTACAACATCTGGACAATGACAGAAGGGGGGGGAAGAAACCACATCGCCCGGGCCAAGACAATGTCATTCGGATGCAAGAAAAACGGGCCCGAGAGAAAAAAAGGCCGAACGGCTGTTCCTTCGACTGCCTTTGCAGCCATAACAGAGGGATTGGAAGAAGGCATGATTGTGGTTTGTCTGTACTTTAAAAACAAAACAAACCCAGGATTTTGAGTTTCAGGATGAAGGCCCGCAGGGTAGAATGGAGAAACCACGTGGCACCATGTGCCACGGAATCATCCGTGAAACCATAAAGGTATATACATGGGACATGTCACGGGGAAATAGCGCTGGATGCTCCGTGCATGTTTTGACACACACACACACACACACACGTTTCCACCTCCCTCAAATCACCAGCACGGTATTAATGCACGCGTGGTCAAAGTCCAGTTCCGCTCCTCCTTGCGGTCCGAACCCCCTCGGCTCAACTGACTGACGTGAGTGCCAGCTTTCCCCCCCCGAGTCCTGCATTTTCTCTTCCCTGTGAACCCTTCTAAGAGTCTTCCATCCGCCCATCCATTTCTCCCCTCCTGCCCCTTCCCAGGACCGGATCCCGGCCCCTGCGCTCCAGCAACAACCCCCCACAACCCCCCCCCACTTCTTGGCTTCACCGCAGCCATGTTCGAACGCTTCGTGCTGTAGCACAGCCAGGCAAGCACCTCAAAATGGCCGCCGCTGAGAAAACATGGCGGAGCGTCCGGGGCTCGAGATGACACCAGACCCGAGGGGCTGGCTGTTGAAGACGTAGGCAGGTGTGTGTGTGGGTTCACAAGATGCACAGAAGTGGCCTCATTTTGTGTCATAACAAAACCCACAGGCACAGTGACACACAACGCATGAGAGAGACCCCTCTGACCATAATAGAAAACCAAGACAAAGCGTAGGTTAAAAATGGATGTAGGTTCACATTCAAGGAGGGGCACAGAAAGATTAAAAACATCTTTTGAAGGTGCAGAGGATGTGTGTGTTTGGCAGAAAAGCACACCAGCTGCCAGTTCACACAGATCTCCTCTTCGTGCCCGAATTCTTCCTTATCTTCCCCCACCAACAACCCCAGTGGAGGCGTACCTTCAAAGCAGCAAGACTAAACAAAACAACAGTATGTAACAGCAGCCACCACCACACTCTTTCACTATATTGTGAAAGGCCTTTTCGGTTTCCACCACCGTGAGGCGCAAGCTTTCAGATTGCACAGAAACCTTCGGCCGCCGAACAAGCCCTTGGAGACCCAGAACGTGGACGTTGTTTGCGAAGCTTCCACCCTGGCCTCCCAAACAGCTTCTTTTGTAAACCACGATGGCCCAAATCTTCCCAGCCAGGCCAAAAGAGTTACTTTTCCAACCCCAGTTTTGAGGTGAATTCCACTCCTAAGCCCTTTTTCTCAGAAGTAAACCAAGGACACTCAAAAGGTCTTCCTTTCCGTAAAGGGGGGGGGGATGTGGCCTTGATGGATAACAAAGACGGAGAGGAAAAGACATGTCTATATTCCAAGTCATAGCCTTTCTGATCTCCTGCAAAACAGGTTTTTGGGCGATCTTAACCTCTATGGAGGTCATGACCCTTTAAAAATTGGGTCAGCCGATGACAGGAACAGGGGGGTGGAATGTACACAGGGTGACACACCACGAAACACGGGATCAAGGGAGGCTCGCCTGATTCACGAGTCGGGACGGGACCCAAATCAAAGTGAGGGAAAGGGGTGTGCCATACGGAGGAGAAGCTGCCTGGCCAAAGATCACCCTGACCGAGAATGTCCCAGATCCAAAAATCCCCCCAAGGAAACCGATCAAATGGTTCACATCGAATCAGCCGATTTGGGTGTTTTCCCCCCCAAGTCATTTCGAGATGCCCAAATGTTCGTGCCAGCCATTCGAGAGCTGGTTCCATTGGGTAACGCAGCTTTGGGGTTTGGGATTCAATGGTGCGCTCACCCCATAGCACTCCCCCCCCAACACCCCACTTCTTCCTGCGTAATTTATCCCCGGTTGTGCAAATCGCACACACCCACCGCAAGGGCCATCTCGTGGACTGAAGGCCGGTTCCAAATACATACGTGGAAATTTACACGCACACAGTGCATTAGAAGTAAAACAACTCAAATTTTTAACCAATCGTGTTTGCTAGGAAATATTTCCCCAAATAAGTCCCTTTTCACCCCACTCTTATCTTGCTGGTGAATTTTTCTTTCTCTCTCATCCTCTCCCCCCTCCTTTTAAAATCTTCGTTTCCATGTTCGATCAGTCAAGGGGAAAATTGTGCCCAATGACGACCCCACCCACTCGAGAAGAAGACCACACCTAGCCATGATTTTGAGCGAAAAAAAAACCCGTTCGTTGCCATTCGCCCATTCGTGGCAGGAGCCACAGGGAAGGGAAAGAAACCCATAAAAATATGGAATAGAACAGAATAAATCAGTTTTCTTTGCTAAGGGGGAAATGATGCCAGAGTAGCTGCCTTTAGGAAGAGTTCACCCAAGCATGTGCAGAGTACATGATCCACACCAATTAAAAAGCCACTGCTGGGAACTTCTCTTTTTTAAAAAATCTGGAAATTATGGGTCATATTTTTGTTCTTGGGCATCCACATGAAAATAAAGGGGATCAGATGACTCCACCCCCATTCCTACGCAGTTTGTACTTTGCAAAGGCTGGCTGAAATTCTCAATTCGGGAACCCATCGAATTCTATGGAGGCTGACAACCCAGTGCGAATTTTGTGAAGGGAGGGAAATATGGATCCCGCAATCTTATACACATTTCTTAAGCCCCAGACCTCACTGTGGTCAGCACGGCTGATTCTGTTTTTTAGCATTGCAGCTGGTCCTATAATAAGCTGTTTTTTTTTCTTGAAAACCCTCTTGGAGAGAAATATAAATATATAAACCCACACATATTTGCGGATGGAAGTCAGATCTCTTCAAGTTGTGGTCTTTTTGTCAAATTTTCCTGGGGGACACCTCAGCAAACATGTAATTTGGGTCCACCAGGAAAAACCTTCATTCCTTTACGAGTTTGGGGTTCGCTTCATCCCTTCCGCTCAAATCACCGCTGTTTGGAATAATAACGTAATCATTGCAATAATTAATAGCACAGCAGGGAGGGCGGCAACAGTGCCCCCTCTTCCTTTTGGTGGGTTTTCCTTTTTCTTACCAACCAGCATAAATATTTAATTTTTGTGTGTGAGGGTTTGGGGTTTGTTGGGGTTCTTTTTCCTTCGATTTTTTTTAAGAGCAAGAAGAGAACTGAAGGCGCAAACCCGTCGAGAAAGCACATTTTTCCCGGACAAATCATGCTGGCAAGACTCTCTACTTTTCAAATCTTATTTTTCAAGGAGCACAGCCGGAAAGAATGAGCTTTAGTGAAAGCTGGAAAGGAAATAGACACGGGTATTTCAAGGAGACCAGGCAGAGCCCCCCCAAAACACCCCCGAAATGAAGCATTTCTAAGCCGGCAGCTCTGCTCATGACAGACAGACGAGAGAGCAAGCCCCATTGACTATAATGTCACCTACTTCTGAGTAATCCCAGCTTTGCAGGCTCAACACTGTATACCCCTTTCCCCTGGCATAGCGGGATTTTTACATGCTAGTCGTCCTCCCTAGTTTCCTGGTGTGACAGTCAGTATCCTCTCCCCCATGGGAACAAATTTCGAATATTGAGCAAAAACACAAATTTTTGGGGAGGACGAAGGAAGCCAGATCATGCCCTGATCGCACTTATCAAGTCTCCATTTCTCCTCAAGGAGGGGAAGAAGGGAAAAGAAAAAGAAAGAACCACATTTCCAATGTCTACTTACCCCTCATTTTCACTGGACTTCTTTTATTTCTCTTCTGGGAATCGCATGAAAAATTCGGGGCCGCCACTCCTCAGGGACAAGGAGAAAAGACAGAAGAAATCGCTATAGGATACGGAGAGATCCTAAAAGTGTCCAGTTTGGGATCTCTCCTCTTGGCTCCTTGTTTTGCAACCGCCCCGTCTCCTCTTCTTGGCAGTTGGCTTTTATTAGTAAATAATAGACTTGTCGTTTCTTCCTTCTGATCTTTCTCTCTCCACACTTCCCCCCCTTTAAAAAAAAATCCCTTCTTTCTCCTCCTCCTCCTCTCTTTCTCTCTCTCTCTCTTCCTCTGCCAAGCACTTCTCCAGTACTGTTAACCTACTTTCTGCCACAGCCTGATTGCAAAAAAAGGGGAAAAAAACCATGAGGAAATTCGCATGACAAGTCCTGAGGCCGGAGCCCCGCCCACCACCTGTCAATTTCACCCTGAAGCTCCACCCCCTCCAGGCCCAGAGCTCCGCCTCCTGTTTTTTTATCCTGCTTTTTTCATTATTATTTTTTTTTAAATCTGTGTCATTCTCCTCCGGTTTCCTGCATGATATAACTCCTCTCTGTCTTGTTTTTCCATGCGCCGTGTATCTGTCTGTCTCGACACGTATAAGGAAAACAGAATACATGCAATGATTTTTAAAGAAAGAAGGTTTGTTTCGGCTGGAAGGCGGCTTAGAGGAAATCTGGGCCGCTGGGCTGCCTTCATGAGGCTGACTATAAAAGGTCTCGGCAAGCTTTCGAGATCACAGTGGTCTTCTTCGGGGTGATGTTGCCCCCCTCCCCAAAAAAGCAGGGTGTGTATATGCGGGCCACCTCTATCCAGCATTCGGTTTTAAGGTACAATCAGAAGAAAATTGACGATGCTAAAGCAAGGCAATGATTCATGGGGTGTTTTATTTCACTCCACGTGACTCCACAATATCACCAAAGAGCTGTTCCACCAAGCAAAGAGACACTGAAAAAAAATGAGAGTTTGTGCCTGTTTGTTTTCCTTTTCCCTCCGTGTCCACCTTTCCTCTTGTGCTGTGTCTTTGTAGATTGATAGGCAGACATGGTCTTGCTCAGTGTCCTTTATCTTTGTTATTATTTTAAAAATGGTATCTAAGCTGTTCCAGGGGCATTTCCAGCTTTAGAATGGATAGCAATACTGTAATCAAGTAAGCAGTAGAGACACGGGCCTCGGAGCATGTTTCCACAGCTCTCCTGTTGGCATCAAGAAGACTTAAAGTGTTCAACATTGGTCATATTGTGCTTTGGTTTCCCCTCTCCTCTCCCCCATCAACCCCTTTCCATGAGGACTAGCGCCTTTCAGTAGCTTTATTTCACCAGATTGAACTGAAGAGTCAACTTTACTTCCTGTTCTTTCAGACCTCTCCTCAGCCCCAATGGCGCCACCTGGTGGATGGCGAGGAATGCCCAATTTGGAAGACCCAAACAAGGTAAAAAAAATGAATTGGAGGTAGAGAAATAACCATGTGATATCTTTTAAAACGAATATTCTAATTGTTTCAACGTGCTTTTATTTAAGACTTTTACTAATTGACATGTTTAATAGAATTGTTTTTTTAAAAAAAGAACATTGCAATTAATTATATATTTAAATTGCTCCATCACTCATGTTCTCACTCATGCCGTGGGAGAGAGGTGGGAGAACCATTATGTACATGGAAAAATCAATGACACCTCCGAAATATACAAATACGTCCTGCGACCCTTGCGACTTAAGGAACTGAATGCAATGGGCTGTCTGGGGAGTTATGGGACTTGTAGTCCCACAGACGAACAGTTGTGGGTTTACTTCTGCTTGCACTGTACACTACTTGTGGGGCTGAAATTCAGGGCCATGGGTTTTATTTTACAAGATCTATCCATCCATCCATCCATCCATCCATCCATCCATCCATCCATCCATCCATCCATCCATCCATCCATCCATCTATCTATCTATCTATCTATCTATCTATCTATCTATCTATCTATCTATCTATCTATATCTATCTATCTATCTATCTATCTATCTATCTATCTATCTATCTATCTATCTATCTATCTATCTATCTATCTATCTATCTATGGCCACCCTAAGTCCGTGCTGGGTGCCGCCATGTCCCCTGAACCTATGGCCACCTTCATGAGGACTAGCATCACACCGTTGCCCTATCAGGCTTTGAAAAATCTAGAATCGCAGCTGGTGTTGGGGGTGATGCGGTCCAGAGGGGGGGGCACAGAGGACCAAGAGGCAGCCTGCTCCCCAGAGTCATCTGAAGGGTAGGCTTAGTGGAAGGCAGTGGGTGACCCCCTTGAGGCATGTTGGGGGAAAAGAAGTATCCCGACCACGAGGAGACCATGCACGACTTCCGAGGCCGCTCGACGCAAGCAGGGCTGTCGTGCCAGATTCTGCTGACTCCAGGACCCGAGCAGTCCTCTGCCCAGACATGGTCTCTTGCTTCGGCCCTTTCTCCATTCTCTCCGTCTTCTTCTGGGGAAGACAGGAGGACGTTTCCGCTCAAGTAGGCCGGGAGATCCGATGAGTTCGGACGCATCTGCTCCAGATATGCGTGCCGCTCGTTCCGGGTGCCCAGCAGCGCTCTGGAGGTGGGGGGGGGAAACACAACAACAGAGAGGGACGACCTTCGGTTTGCCGAATGCAGCTCAACCTCGCATAGAGCACGACTACAGTTGTTATTAATCATTGCCATTATTATTATTAATATTGTTACTATGATTAGCAGAGGGTCCATATTGATCGTAGACAGGGTGCAGGTGGGGAGAAAGCTAAGAGGCATGCAGGTGGGGCTTCTAACATGGCCGGGTGGGTGGATTTCCTTTCCTCCTGTCCAACAACCAGGTTCAAAGCAACGCTGGATTTTTAAAAAATAAAATGCACGCACATGAAATCAAGCCCAAGTTCACCACAAAGGGAAAAAGTGTCTCTGGGGAAACAGATGACACATTAAACTTACATGTTACTGAAAGGGGGTGTGCGCCCCGCACCCCTGAAGATGGGGTGGTGGATGATGCCAGCCCTTCTGCTGTAGCCATTGGGACTCACCACCTTTGTGCATTCAGGCATAGAATCAAAATTCTATCACGCCCCATCTTTTCCGGCAGGCTTAGAACAATCACAATCAAGTCCCAAAGTGCCCTTTTGTAAAGCTAAGATAGTGTTTAATGTTTACTTGCTTTTTATTATTCAATTGTATTTCTATTTGCATACCGTTTCATTGTGTGTGTGCTTTTTTTTAAACGCTTCACTCCTTATGGTTTTAATTCTGTTCTTTGGGATACTGTGAGCTGCCTTGGATCGGGAGAAAGCGGTCTATAGATAAAACAAACAAATGAATTAATTCAAATCAGAAGAGGAGCTGAAGGATGGACCCGATGAGTGGCCTTAACGAGGAGACCTGACGTCACTCTTGGTTTCTCTGACCCTTTTCTCCCATGAATGGCTCTTTTCTCATATCACTCTTGGTTTCTCTTTTCTCCCATGAATGGCTCTTTTCTCATCTTTTTCTCCTGATTCTATGAGTCTGAAAGTTCCTTCTCTGTCCGGTTCTCCTCGCCGTCCTTAATGATCCGGGAAGCGTGCGACAGGATCGGAGTATTATCTGTGGAGAGGAGGGCTTTGCCCCATCTCGCTTTGGAAGCACAGAATGGGTTTGGGCACCCGAAAGAATCAGAGTGTCGTCCACCTCAAAGGTCATCTAGTCTTGCCCGCCAGAAATCGACAGCCAGAGCTGAGCCTGAACAACGGTCATCCCTGTCGGAGTTGGATTTAAAGATACTTGATTTAAAGAATATCGCCACCATTTTCGCCCCTGAGTGAGATGGTATGTCATTCTCTCTACATTCTGGGAGGGAGGAAATCGTTAATTTTTCATCTCTACCTCCAGACTGAGGGCTAATGGCAGAAAGAGTGTCCGATTCAGATGCGAGACCTGGGTTCGAATCCACTGGCTCTGGGAATTCACTGGGGAGTGGCCATGGGAAACCACTCCTCAGACATCCCGCACCGACCTTACTTAGGGTGCCCCTAAATCAAAAGTTCCTTGAGGGCACGGAATGGCCAAAGCCGGGAAACTTTGCTTTTCGGAGGAGCGACAATTCTCAGAATTCCCAGCCAGCTTGTCAGCTAGGGGATTTTGGACTTTGTAGTCCACAACAATTTAACTTTACCAATGACTGCTAAAACACCCTCCAAATGGGCAGGTTCGGTTTGCTGCACGCAAATATCTTATTTTATGCTTTGCCCATCCTGCTCTTTGTTAACCCCCAATGGCCGAATATTCTTGGCCCCCTTCGGCCCTTCAAAGGCCTGCTTGTTTCCTCCCAGTTCCTGGTGGGGACTCCAATTCCCACAATCCCCAGTGGAAGGATTCGAACTCTGGATTCAGCTGGCCAACCCCCATAGTTTCGGAGAACCCCGAATCTCGGAGGTCTTGCGACGAGCTTCCACAGGCCTGGTTGGAAAAGTGGCTCTGGGGGGCGGGGGGCGGAAAGGGATAGTTAGAAGTGGGAAGGGGGAGAAAGCGTCAAGAAGCCCCGCTTGAGCCCGACAGGAAGAAAAATAAAGGCAGGCATAATAGAGCCACACAGCCGGTTTCCTAGCACCCCTGGCCCACTGACCTACTTTGAGCATAATCGCCATTAAGAGCGCATGACGAGATGGAGCGTTTTCTATGGCAGATCCTACATTTGTGAGGAAAGGGTGGGTGGGCGAGCGGGTGGGAAGGCCGTCAACGAAAACGGGGGAAAAAGGGAAGGCTGGGTTTCGGGAAAGACGGGGGCCTCGACAGCTGTCCGTCTTGGTTTATCTGCTTGGACACTGACGGGAGAGACGACTGATGGAGAACCATTCAGAATGAATGCATTACATGCGCATGATAACCCTTCCCACCCTCCTTGTTGCATTTCAAAAGCAAGTAACTAATGGGGAGCGAGTTATTTTTCGGCAGCACTGAGCGCTGGGAGCAGATTGCTGGACTACAAAGCCCAGCATTCTGGAAGAAGGAGCCATGAAAATCAAAAGAGGACCAAACGGTGGTAGCTCTGCAGTGCAGACACACCTGATTCGGGTCTTCTTCAGCATCCATTTCTTAGGTTAAATAAACCCTGGTTTATTGTTCTGCCCAAAGAAGGAAACCATGATGAGATGAAAGTAGGGTTTGTTGGAGTGCGGCAAGTTTTCGGGCTTTTGCGGGGGGCTTGGACTTTTTGTTGTAAATCAAATTTGTAAGCTGGTATCCTTGATCCGCTTTAGTGGAATGTGCTAAGAACAAACCACAATTTAGTTTTGAACCTGGCTCCCCTGGAAAAGAAGACAAGAAAGGA